AATTAGCTGTAGGTTGTTTGCAAATACCTTTTATTAAGCTCAAAAACTCCTTTCTATTTTAGATTGCTGAATTTTTATTGTGAATGGTTATTAAGATTTATTAAATGTTTTTATATCTATTGACAAGATTGTATGTTTGTTTCTTTTATTCTATTAATACAGTTATTTATATCAATTGATATTTTAAATCTTATGCATTTCTGAAATGAATTTGTGTAATAATACCACTTAGTTATGGTGCATTATCCTGTTTATATGTTGCTTGATTCAATTTAATAATATTTTCTATTTGGAGAGGTTTTAAATTGGAATTCAATTTTTTAACTGATATAAGGCTAGTTTTTAAAAATTTCTTCTTGAGTTGGTTTTGGTAATTTTTGCCTTTCAAGGAATTTTTTTTTTAATTTAAACATTTATTTATTTATTTATTTATTTATTTATTTATTAGAGAGGGAGAGGGGAGGGACAAAGGGAGAGGGAGAAAGAGAAACTTAAGCAGACTCCACTCCCAGCACAGAGCCCCACGCAGGCTCAATCTCACAACCCTGAGATCATTACCTGAGCTGAAATCAAGAGTCAGACGTTTAGCTGACTGAACCACCCAGGTGCCCCTCAAGGAATTTTTTTTATTTCTATGAGTTTATCAAATCTATTGGCATACAGTTTTTCATAATATTCCCTTATTATTCTTTTAACGTCTGCATGATCTATAGTAAAGTGTCCTTTCATTTCCGATGTTGCTAAGTTGTGTCTGCTCTCTTTTTACTTCTTTGGTTTATTTAGGGGTTTATCAAGTTACTTGATCATTTTAAATTACCAGCTTTTTATTTCATTGACTTTTATTTATTTCCTATTTCATTGATTTCTGCTCTTAATCTTTATTATTTCCTTCCTTCTACTTACTTTGGGTTTACTTTGCTTTGTTTTTTTTTTTTTCTAGTTTTTTAAAGAATACTTTCAGATAATTGATTTTGGACATTTTGTTCTCCAAAATAATTATTTAATGATTATTAATTTCCTCGAAGACAGTGCTGGCCAATAGATCTTTTTGTGATGGCAGAAATGTTCTATGAACTGTTCAATAGGGTGGTCATTAGCCTCAAAAGGTTACTGAGTACTTAGAATATGACTACTGTAACTGAGGAAATGAATTTTTTATTAATTCTAAATAATTAAAATTAAAGTGTAAATAGATACATTTGGCTGGTGGCTACTGTATTGGACAACACATCTCTATATATCACCATATCTCACAGATGTTGATGTGTATTTTCATTTTCATTTAATTCAAAATATTTTCTAATTTCTCTGTGATTTTTTCTTCAATTCATAGGTTACTTATAAATGTATTATGTAATTTCCAAATATTTGATTTCTAATTTAATAGCATTTAACCCAGTGGTGTCTTTTATTTAGGGTAAATTTGTTGAAGATAGCTTATCATTGAATCTTGCCTTTTTATCCAGTCCAACAATCTCTGACTTAATTGTAGAATTTAAAATATTTATATTTAGTGTATTTAATGAAACATTTGAGGTTAAATCCAACAATTTGCAACTTGTTTTTTATCTGTCCTGTTAATTGTTTATTTCTTTTCCTGTCCTTTTAAAGAATTCATTATTCTTGTTCTTCCATTTTATTTTCACTAATGACTTATTAGCTATATCTCCATTTCATCTTTTAAAGTGCTTTCTAAGCTTTACAGTATGTATTTTAAACTTAACACAGTCTATCTTCAAATTATACAACAAAACTTCACAGATTATGTGAAGTGCCTGGGTGGCTGAGTCGGTTGAGTGGCTGGCTCTTGATTTCAGCTCAGATCATGATCTCAGAGTCCTGGGATCAAGCCCTGAGTTGGGCTCTGTGCTCAGCAGGGAGTCTGCTTGAGGATTCTCTCTCTCTCCCTCTGCCCCTCCTGCTGCTCATGTGTGCATGCTTTCTCTCTCTCTCTCTCTAAAATAAATAAATAAATCTTAAAAAAAAACCTTCACTTATACCTAATGGGGACTTCTCAACGGTATAACTTATTTCCTTTCTTCTCTTGTCTGTGGCATCATTGTCATACATTTTTACTTCTACATATGTTATAAGACCCCAAATACATTGTTTTCATCATTATTTTAAAAAGGTATTTAAAAAGTTTTTAATGAGAAAACAATATCTTTTCTATTTATCTACTCATTTATCATTTCTGGTCCTACTTATTTAAGTTATCATCTGGTGTAATTTTTTGTTCTGTTAGCTATGCATTCACACAGCTTTTACTCATATGTAAGTGCTTTCATTTTTGAAAGATATTTTTTCTGGGTATAGAAGTTTAGATTGAAATTTTCCCCCAGAACTTAAATATATTATTATATTGACTTCTGGCTTTCATAGTTTTTGATGAGAAACTTGCTGTAATTTTTCTTTGTTCCACTTTTTATGATTGCCTTTTCTTTTCCTTCTGGCTGCCTATAATATTTTCACCTTTATCACTATTTTTTTTAAACACTGATTATGATGTGTTGTTTTCCTTATGGTTGTCCTACTTGAGGATTATTAAGCTTCTTGAGTCTTGGTTTATAGTCTTTTTTTATTTTTTGAGAGAGAGAGAGAGAGAGAGAGAGCAAGTGAGTGGAAAGTGGGAGGGACAGAGGGAGAGGGAGAGAGACAATCTTAAGCAGGCTCCACACCCAGTGCAGAGTCTGATGACATGGGGCTCAATCTCATGACCTTGACATCATGATCCGAGCCAAAATCAAGAGTTACACTTAACTGACTGAGCCACCCAGGTGCCTGTTTTATAGTCTTCTTAATTCTGGAAAAGTTGTTGGCCATTATATTTTCATGAGGCTCCCCCTCTCCTCTTTTGTTTCTTTTCTCTTCTTGGAAATCCAATCACATGTATGTCATGTTAGATTCCTTGATGTTGTTCCACATGTCACTGAGGATCTTCCTCCTCCTCTTCTTTAATTTTCATCCTCTTTATGCTTCATTTTGGGGAATTCATATTGCATTGGCATTAAGTCCACTATCCTTTTCTTTTCAGTTCCTATTGTGAACTCAAAATATTCCCAGTCACATGTAAACTCTAGAGTTGTTTGCAGCTCTCTGGCAATTGTTATCCTCTTAGAAGTTGTTCTTTGCATAGACTTGTAGAATTTCACCCTATGCTTGTGCAGACTGATATTTAGCCAAACACTAAAGGGGACTCTCTGAATATTTCTGATGCTCTTTCTCTTCATTACTCTTCCCTGAACATGTTAATTCCCTCAACCTCCTTGAACTCTGAACTCTGTTTCCTCTACCCAATGAGACTGATGGGTTCCTTCTTTTGTACTGAGTTTTGGAAATTAGCTCCAGGCATAACTCCTAGGCACTCACAGGATTCACCTTATTAGTTCCTTATCTCTCAGCCATCACAGTCCTGTGCTACCTGTTGTTCAATGTCTGACAATTGTTGTTTTATATATTTTTCACAGTTTTCTAGTTGATTATGGCCTGACAGTAAGTATAAACTTTGTTTCTTCCTTATGGATGGAAGCAGGAGTCCAAATTTTAATTTTTACCCACAGTTATACATGCACAGTTTAAAGAGCCAAATAGTTTTCCAATGTTTTTATAAAACAAAACAAAGCAATGGCAGTTCCCTGCTCTTGACCCCATTGCTCACTTCCAAAGGAAATTACTTTCAATTCTTGTTGATTGTCCATGTTAACTTCCATTTTGTTTATATTATTGCTATTTCCTGAGTCTTTATATTTTAAACATTGACTTTGCATGAGAGAGTACAGAAATTTGGCTTTTTATTTATTCTCCACCTTTACTCCATTCAAACTTTCCCATACTCCATTTTCCCAATATCATCATACCATAATTTTGATTGGGTAAATGTTCAATAATATTATAGTATGTGAATATTTTTAGCTGGACCATATAATATGCTATTTTTATTTATTGCATACATTTTTTAGTTTTCCTGGAGTTCATAATTATCTTGCTTTTTTTAATCTCCAAAATATCCTCTAGTTGAGTATTTCTCTTTTTATTATGTTTGAACAATTCAGGTATTCTATCTCTACCATCTTATTGAAGAGGTTTCTAGAGCTTAGAGGATCTAATCTGGTTTTGTTATCATCTGAGCTCTATGTGCAACCTTCTTCCTGACATCTCTTTAATCATCATCTTAGGGTTACCTTTACCTGTCTCTTAGATTAGGTTCCCTGTTTCCTGTATCCCATGTTTTCTTTCTTCTTAGTTTATCACCTCATTTTTGGTGGAGCAAATCCTCTGGTAATTACCAGAGAAGGATACATGAGATGTATTGTTTTATTTTATTGTTTTGTTTTATTATTTGTTTGCTTTTTGTGAAGTTGTTTGCCTTTATTTTACCTGCGTATGATAGTTTTGCAAATTATATTTTATAAATATTTTTTAAAAATATTTTATTTGTTTGAGAGAGAGTGAATGAGAGAGAGAGCACAAGCAAGGGCAGAGAGAGAGGCAGAAGCAGGCTCCCCGCTGAACCAGGAGCCTGACACGGGGCTCAATCCTAGGACCCTGGGATCATGACCTGAGCCAAAGGCAGATGCTTAACTGACCGAGCCACCCAGGTGCCCGTACTTTTATAAATATTTTTATTTGATTAATATTTCCTTGTTTGCTAAGATTTTTTTTTTCATAAATGCATGTTGAATTTTTATCAAATGCTTTTTTTGCCTCTGTTTATAGATATAAATATTGAAAAATTGTTTTCTCAGGACTTGGAGGGATGCTTGGGTGGCTCAGTCAGTTAAGTGTCTGCCTTCGACTCAGGTCATGATCCCAGGGTCCTGGGGTCAAGTCCCGCATGGGGCTCCTTGCTCAGCAGGGAAACTGCTTCTCCCTCTGCTTGCTGCTCTTCCTGCTAGTGCACATGCTCTCTCTCTGGCAAATAAATAAATAAAATCCAAAAAAAAAAAAAAAAGACCTTGGTAAGCTTTGCCTCACTCTCTTCTAGCTTTCTTATGTTGTAATATTTGATCTTCTGCCTATGAACTACTTTTTTTTTTCTTTCCAGAAGCTCTTAGGACTTTTTTCTTTATTTCTAAAGTTCTAAAATTTCATGATTATATATCTTAGTATGTTTTATATTGTTTCCCAGAAAGTGAACTTGAGGCAAAATCTTATTTGCAGTTATTTTACTGGTAGTGCAAGTCCAGAAATCATGGTGAGAGATAAGAGGAGTGAGGGAGAAAAGAAATACAGCCAATATGAAGATGAGTTACTAATGGGTTTAATATTATGGAGCTGTCCTCTTGGATTAAATGCATCTCAGGATCATCTGTTTCAGGTAAGGGGAAGGAAAGAAGTTTATCCATTAGCTCCCATTTCTTACTGGTGAAAGGTTTGCTCTGAGCTTCAAAATAAGTACATGTGTGCATGTCAAATAGAGTTTTGGGGCTTCTCACTCTTTAGTGCCGATGGAAAAGCCTTGGGGCAGGAGTCAAGAGGCATGCCATGCTGGCTTGAGGTGAGACATATGTGAAGCTTGTGGGAGCCTGGCAGATCTGGTTGTTATAGCAGTGACTGAAACAAGAGACAAGGGAGACCAGGAGGATTTGATGTATTACCTAAGAGTTGTCTGATACAGAGACAACTGGTCTTTTTGCTTCCATCATGCTGAGATTTTCATGAGCCCATTTAGTCTGGAAAATTAACAGTTTTGGAAAAGTTCCTCAAATTATTTTTTCATGATTATCTCTTCTCTTTTTGTTTGTTTGTTTGTTTTGTATTCCCTTTCTGGAGCACCTGTTAATCAGATTTTGGACCATCTGGCTTCTTCCTGAAATCTTGTTTTCTCCCTATTTCCATACTATGTCATATTGCTTGAATTTTTGAGAAAATCTCTCAACTCTACCTTTTGATTCTTTGGACTTTTTCATTTCTTCTGTCATTTAAATTTTCAAAGAACTTTTATTGTTGTTTCTGAATATATGTATGTGTATATGCACACACCCATACACACACGTGTGCACACACACATGTCCCTGTTCATATTCAATGGTTACAGCATTTGTTTTTGAATTCTCTGGCTATTAATTATAGCTCATGTGTTGTTTTCTTTTCATGAAAGTGAATTCTTTGTTTCCTCTATGTTTTATTTTTTTCTTGTTGGTTTTGACCTCTGCATTCATATTAGAGTTGTTTTCCAGGTGTCTGCTGTTTATCTGTAAGAGTGGAGCTCTGAGAAACCAGTTGAAAGCTCTCCGTGTATGGGGTGAGGCATTTAATTAAAGAGCTTCCAATGTCATTATCTTGATGACTTTTATTTTTGGCTGGTCAGATTCCCTAGAGAAAACTTTTATAATCTTTGACCTGGAGGGTGTATAACAGGCTGCCAATACTCAGGAATCCAAATGGGGCAAAAGGCTGAGAATCACAACATTTCATATGCAATCTTTTACACATCTGTTTTTTTTTTTTTTTTTTTCAGGTTAGGACACCCACTGTCAACTGTGCCCAGAGTTGCCTAGCCAGACTTTCTATTTTACCTTCTCCAGAGAATAAACTCTTATCTTCTACCAAGAGGGAGAGGGGAATCTTGGAAGTAAACTGTTTCTTAAACAGAACTGGAACCAACCATCCTGATTTTAACCCCACCTTCATACCATCTCTAGATGTACCTAGTGCATAGTTCTTGAGCCTTTGGGCATTCTGCAGTGTGAAATGATTTGCTTCTCTGCTCTCCTCACTACCAGTTTAACACTTAGTTTCTTGGGTCTGCTAGGTCATCCATCTCTTTTCCAGCTTCCAAAAATTTGTAGGTGGGACTCTCCTCTCCTGTTCTCTTTGTGGTATTCTTTTCCAAATCTCTTTCTCATGGAAAGTAAATGTACTCCTGAAAGTCTACTCTTCCTCCCACCATAACAAATAGAAACATTGACCAAATTAACTCCAGGGGAAATTCTACTGTTTCTTGTCTTGGAAAATTTATGTCTCCACAATGTATTTGTAGCATAATAGAATTTGTGTTTCATGTGTCAACTCTGGCTTACTGAGGCATTACAAGAGATTATACACTTAGTATAGTATACAAAATAAACTCATTCAGAAATTTTTACTCCATCCAAACAGAGTATAGTAGATCTGCAAATCCTTCAATTGATTTGATTGGTTTTCTCTGCACTCTGAACTTCTAGGTGAGAGAAACAAATTCAAATATAACAACCCTAACAGGAATTTAGTTAAAATGAAAATAAACATTCCGGTAGAGATTTGGGCCCATGGTCTACACTTTGTATTTCTAAATGATAAAGAGAATTGATGTTCCAAATGATAACCTTAAGACACCATAGTATTTTCTTTCAGATAAAAATTATGTTCTATCTTTGTAAGGTGGAGCTTTAGACATTTCAGAAAAGGTTTTAATGATGAGAGTGGAGCATAAAGAGATTTCAGGTTAACTGTAAGTCATTCATCAGAATGTTTGATTCTGCAAAGTTATTCTGGCTTTATGGGACAGAAGTAAATAAATGGACAATTGCCCAGAATATTTAATGAGTGAGTGTGCTTAGTTGGAAGAAGCTGAGTCTACAGAATTGTAAGCTTGAGCCCACATCAGTAGCAGCAAACTATTTTTCACTCAGAATCTGTTTTAGTAATCACTTTGCAGTTGCTGCCTCTAATGAAACTTCCAGAATCACAATAAATAACTAAAGCAATTTCCATGGAAAATTAATACTTTATGTGACGATTTTAAAAATCCCAAGAAAAGAGTTTTTTAAAAATTTTTTATTGTTATGTTAATCACCATACATTACATCATTAGTTTTTGATGTAGTGTTCCATGATTCATTGTTTGTGCATAACACCCAGTGCTCCATGCAGAACGTGCCCTCTTTAATACCCATCACCAGGCTAACCCATCCTCCCACCCCCCTCCCCTCTAGGACTACTCAGTTTGTTTTTCAGAGTCCATCGTCTCTCATGGTTCGTCTCCCCCTCCGATATCCCCCCCTTCATTCTTCCCCTCCTGCTATCTTCTTCTTCTTCTTTTTTTTTTCTTAAAATATATTGCATTATTTGTCTCAGAGGTACAGATCTGTGATTCAACAGTCTTGTGAGACAGACCTTCATCTCTGAGCTTTGGGGGACTCAAAGTAGTGTGAAAGAGAGTCTTTGTCCTTAAGAATCTTACAATTTAGTCAAGGAGAAAGACATTATATATAAATATAAAGTAGGAGGCTACATGCTATGTAGCAGTAGGGATGTTAGTGGCTTTAGGAGTAATATAACAGAGGTAGGAAGACCTCTGAAGACCTCCCAAGAAGGAAGTGGCGACAAGACCAGAGGAGGAAATAATTAAGATGGTTCTTGCTTTTTGTTTCTTAGCTTATGCTTAGGTCTTGGGTGGTAGGAACTTAGGGAGTAGTTAAGATACAGCAAGTTGGAACATAGTGGCAGCTCCAGTGAGCATATTTTAATATATAGTTTGAGTTTCTCAAATTTTAATGAGATCATAGGTCATATAAATAATATTTATTTCATATATGTGTATATATTAGTCAGGTTCCTTCTGGTGACAAAAACCCATTTGAAACTATTTTAAGCAAAGAAAAAAAAATTCTGTTGACCAATGTGATTGACAAGGTCAGGTATAGAATGGATCAGGTATGCATGGATTTAGATATCTCAGATAATGTCATCAGGCATTTATCTTTTTCTCTGGGAGTTACAGTCATCAACTTGGGTCTTATGTGGCTGGTATAGCTTTCCATTTCAGATTAGAGAACCTTCATTCTTAGCACCTAGTACATAGGATGTGTCTGGGAAGGACTCCAAGTACCTGCTTTTTGGACGAGTCATGATGAACAGAGGATGACTGACTGAGTCTTAATCACATGGGAAGCAGAGCTTGAGTCTGATGCCTTAGACCACTTGACCATTTTGACACTCTCTGTCTTAATCACATGGGATAAGGGAAGAAGATTTTCTCAGTGAAAAGGTGCCCTGGGAAGGAAGAGTCAAGAAGTGTTGTTACAGACCTGAAATGAATCGTTTTACATTAATTTATGCCAATAAACAAAGGTGGATGCTTCTTGAATTTCAGGTTGTATATAGTAAGTTGGATTTATACTACTTAGACATGAGTGAAATAATGGAGAGTTGCAGTTGGGGATATTATACATCTTAGATATTAATTATCACATCTTTTAGGTATTACCCATCATCAAAGAACCCACTCTTGAGAATATGTTACTCCTTGGGGACCCAGCCCCTATCATGACCATTAACAAATTTGGCACTTACAAGGACAATATAGTAATGAAAAGGGTGAACACTATATTCAGTAGGACCTCAGGATTCTTTCCTGGATTTTTATGTTCACATTTCACAGGAGTCTTCTGACCATTCACACTCTTTTTTTTTCCCTTTTCCTTTTTTTTTTTCTGAAGATTCAGAACCATAGGGAATTGTGCTTACTGAAGTCCACTGTGTAAGATCTTAGTAGCTTGAGTTGAAGAACCAAATATTCTCAATGCCATGTCATGAGAAGAAAAAATACTCATGAAGAGAGGAATGCAAGTAGCTCAGAGTTCAGGCTAGAGATCAAGGCCTTGAGATCTACAAGAACTCAAAGGGCAGGGGAAACTTCAAGGCCTGGGACCAAGGAAGACCTTGATAACTGTTGTAGCTTTTCAGATTCAGATTCATTAGGCGGTTCAGGTATGTATGAAAGAGGCAATGATTGGAAAATCATGGCTTGGAAGGCAGACCAATGGTATGGGCAAATAAATCTTGGTCATTAGAAATACTGCTTAGGCTCATCTGGTTATTTAGTAATGACTGTCTTGAGAATGTGTTGAGTTTCAGAAGGTGCAAGGAAGAGGGCTGTAACTGGTTCAAAAGATCAGCCAGGGGCTGAGCATGGTAGCAGATGTACAGCCCCAGTAATTCTCAAAGGCATTTGGTAGAATGGTATAAGGTAATATCCAGAACTCAAATTGCAACATTATTTACAACAGACAAGATATGGAAGCAACCCAAGTGTCCATCCACAGATGAATAGGTAAAGAAGATGTTGTATGTATACAACGGAATATTAGTCATAAAAGAATGAAATATTGCCATTTGCAACAACATGGATGGACCCACAGGGTATAATGCTAAGTGAAGTAAGTCAGTCAGAGAAAGACAAATACCACATGATTTCCAACATATGTAGAATTTAGAAACAAAACAAATGGGCAAAGAAAAACAGAGACAAACAACAAAAAACCCAGACTCTTAACTATGGAGAACAAACTGGTGGTTACTAGAGGGAAGGTGGGGGTGGGGATGGGTGAAATACGTGGAAGGGATTAAGAGTACACTTATCATGATGAGCACTGAGTAATGTATAGAATTGTTGAATCACTCTACCGTACACCTGAAACTAATATGACACTGTAGGTTAATTATACCAGAATTTTAAAAAGCACTAAACACAAATATTTTGATTGTTGCATGGAATAGGAAATCAGAATTATAAAATGTTTTAATCTGTCAAGTACTGGAGAAATTAAAATGAGAAACATATTAATAGATTCCTCAAGATTATTGGTGGGGCTGGGTTTTGCAAGAACCTATGGAGGACTATATTGAAAAAATATGTCAATGACTTAAAAAATCACTTGTTTTTCTGAAAGAATTTGTGCTTAGTAACCAAACAAATGCAAGGGCTATTACAACAGACTGCTAATTAGCAACCAACCATTGCTTAATCTTAATGTATTTGTCAATTTCAGTTTCTATCCAATCAACTTAAGGATGCTATTTTATATACAACATAACATAGTTTCCAAGCACCTCTAAAAGTGTTTTCATTCCTTCAGCAATCAAATATGTATTGAGCACCTACTGTATGCCAGGTTTGCTAAACTCTGGGATACAAGGCTTGTTATGACACATTTCCCCTTATATAGACTTAGAAATATAATATTTCAGTGTACTAAATGCTAACATAACTCAGCCATGGAACTATAAGAACAGAGAGGAAGGAGAGATTCATCCACCTTTGGGATTTAGGGAATACTTTGCAGAGGAAGTGACATTTGAGACAGGCTTCTAAGGATTGACTAAATGTTATTGGTTACATAATTTCTCCTGATTCACCTGTGGGCTTTAACTTTATTTTTTTATTATTATTTTTATTCTGAGCTTCTTTATAGATAAAATATGATCAGGAGTTAAACAAAGGAAGAATGAGATAAAAAAGAATTTGCCCACTATAGTTTAGCAGATTATTGAACATCGAAGGATGAGATATAAAGCTTTGAGTAAATGGAATGATCTAATTTTATGTTGTGTGATGACAGCTTCTGTTTCTTTTTTTATTATTATTGTGGTAAGAACATTGAACATGAAATCTATTCTCTTAACACATTTTTAAGTGTACAATACACACTTTGTAAACGATAAACAAAGTTGTACAGATCTCTAGAACTCACTCATTTTGCATAACTAAACTTTTATATCCTTTGTACAGCAACTCTTCCCTTTCCTTTCCCAGCAGATCCTGGCAACCACTATTCTAGTCTCTGTTTCAATGAGTTTAACTATTTTAGATACCTCATATAAATGGAATCATGCAATATTTGTCTTTCGGTGACTGGCTTATTTCACTTAGTGTAATGTTCTCCAGGTTCATCCATGTTGTTACACATGGCAGGATTGCCTTCTTTTTAAAGGCTGAATAGTATTCCGTGTATGGATATACCACATTTTCTTTATCCATTCATTCATCAGTAAACATTTAAGTTGTTTCCATAGCTTGGATATTGTGAATAATGGTACAATGGACATGGAAGTGCAGAATTCAATTCTTTTAAATACATATCCAGAAAAGGAACTGCTGGATTGTATAATAGTTCTATTTTTAACTTCTTAAGAAACCTCCATACTGTTTTCCATAGTGGCTGAGCTATTTTGCTTTCCCAAAAACAGTGTGCAAGGGTTTCAATTTCTCCACATCATCACCAATATTTATATCTTTTTTTTAAATAATAGCCATCCTAGTAAGTGTGAGGTGATATCTTATTGTGGTTTTTATTTACATTTTCCCATTAATTAGTAATGCTGAGCATCTTTTCATATTCCTGTTAGTCATGTGTATGTCTTCTTTGGAGAAACATCTATTCAAGTCCTTTGCCCGTTTTTTGATTGGGATGTTTGTTTTGTTGTTGTTGCTGTTCTTTTGCTATTGAGTTTTAGGAGTGCCTTATATATTTTGGATATTAATTCCTTATCCAATATATGGTTTGCAAATATTTTTTCCCATTCTGTAGGTTGCCTTTCACTCTGTTGATTATTTGCTTTGCCATACAGAAGTTTTTTAGTTTGATGTAGTCCCGTTTGTCTACTTTTGCTTTTGTTGCTGTGCTTTTGGTGTCATGTCCCATGTGTGCTTTAGTTAAATTGCCAAATATTGACTGCATATTTAGGAAGTACAATCTAGAGACCAAATGAAGACCTGAGTGTGGAAGAAGCAAACCCAAGTTTCTCAATAAAAAGACAATGTTATAGTTCTCTTGTAAATTTGGATTTCAATGGAAATGGTCATTTTTGTTCAGAGACTATATAGTAAAGTGGTAAAAAACACAGTGCTAGAGCCAATCTGCCTAGATTGAATATAACTTAGACAATGTACTGTGTTTCAGTTTTTTATCTGTAATATGGAATAAT